TTCAGGCTCATTTGGGAAGTTTTTGCCTGGAAAGCTGCAAAAACTCGAGGTTTTTGTGGTGGACGTTTTCCAAAGTGAAGCAACAAGAAACGGCAAGCACGGGTTGACAGAGCAAGTGGTAGTAGCATTTGAGAAGTAACGCAACCAACGAAACGGAAGACACAAGCCGCATTCGCATGGACGTCATCACCCCCCTCCATCCCCCCCACCCCCGCACAGAGCTGAAAGACAAGTTGCAAGTTTAAGCTGGCATGTACCAAAGTCGAGAATCGGCAAAACCACCGTAAAACAAAAAACAATGCGAAATGCGACACATAGGAAGCAACAAGAGAAACAGAAGACACAAGCCGCGTTCGCATGGACGTCATCACCCCATCGCATCCCCCCCAAGCCCCGCACAGAGCTGAAAGACCAATGCAAGTCGAAGCCGGCATGTGCAGAAAGTCGAGAGACTGCAAAAACCGATGCGACATGCGACACGCAGGAGAACACCGAAAGAAAGCGAGGCGATTGAAATGCAGAGTTGAACATGCTTTTGCACAGTGCAGCCCGCCGGCGGGTCATTTTTTTGCTGGAAAACACAGCAAAAACCGATGCGAAATCAAAAGCAAAGTTCAACGTCCGGTGAAGAAAGTGCCCAAACTCGAGTTTCAGCACATGCCAGCAGTGGCATTGCACCACCCCGCGCGGCGGCAGATGCACCGCCTAACAACAACAACAACAACAACAACAACAACAACAACAACACAGCGCGTATGGTGTATGCAGAGGCTTTTTCAGCATTTTCAGCTTATGTTCATAGATTTTGTGCGTATTTGCAAGGAGTTTGTGTGTATTTGCAAAGAGTTTGTGGTATTTGCAACGATTTTGTGCGTAGTTGCAAGGATTTTGTGTCATTTCATGGTTTTGTAAGAATTTCCAAGGACATGTTACGTATATCCGTTGATTTTGTGTGTGTTTGCAAGGTTTTTGGTGCGGTTTTGTATGTACGTCCATGGGTTTTGAGTGGTTTTAGATTTTGTGCGCACATGTCCAACGCATCAGAAGTGGATCTGAGGGCCTGGGACCAAGGTCAAAGCAGCAGACGTGGATCAAGCGCTTCAACATCACATAAAATCCGTTGATTTACCCTCGAATCCTTTTTGAACAGTTCGATATCTAATGCAAACCCTTCAAAATTCCAGACAAGCCCCTTCAAAGCCCGTGAGAACCTTTCTGGATTTCGTAGATTCCCATGGTGGAAATTTGGTGTAATGTGGGTGGTGGTTGTAAAGGCGGGGCTTCAAAACAACAGACGGGGCTCCAGTTTTTGGCTCTACCACAGGGTAGAGACAAAGTCCTGATGTTGTTTTGAACCCCCCTTTTTACGACAACCACCCACCCTACACCGCATTTCTATCATGGGGCAGTTAAAGTGTGGACCATGGCTCGCATTCCCCAAAACTCTACAGGCACCCTATGCCCTATACGGTCGCCGGAAGCATTCCCAAGTGATTCTTATCAACAACATTTACGGGCTGCTATTTTGTCTGTACCAACAACAACAAGACGACAACAACAACATCAACAACAGCACCAGCAGCAACAACAGCAACAACAGCAACGGAAACAGCGCCAGCAACCACAACGACAGCGGCGACAACGACAACAACAACAAGTACTACAACTACAACAACTACAACAACTACTACCACAACCACATCACTCGCAGCAGCAGCATCAACAACCGCAGCAGCCGCAACAGCGCCTGCAACAATAGCAGCCGCAGCATCAACCAACCACGGAAACAGCACATGCAACAGCATGCACAGCTGCAGCAAGAGGAGCAGGATCAGGAGATGCAGAAGCAACAAGGAACAACAACTTCAACGGCAATCACTACAAGCTAGAAGCACAACAACCACAACCACCGTTTGCGAAGAAGTATAGTTTTATGCATGCGGAAACTGCGAAGGCCACTGTCCTTTCTCGCCTCAATGGAATCCAGAAAGCGCACTCAACTCTTGATTCGTGAGTACACAAGCTAACGAAGTCCAAGCAAATCGAATACTACGTCAGGCGCGAAGTACTTCTTTCTTCGAGAATACCTTCGAAACCATTTCCTGGGGTCGCTTCTGCCTGCCCCTGGGCATTCGCGTTGGTTCCTTCCTTCTTCGGGGCCAGGAGTGCGGGATTGAGGATGACTTGGGAACGGCGGGAAACTTTTATTTTTGACAAGTTCACTGGAGCTGCGGGATGTGATCGTAAGGGTTTGTGAGCATCCAATCACATGGGGTCAGGGCCATGTTTGAATCTTCCTTTTTGTGAGTCATTATTTGTGACCCTTTCTGGAACTGCCTCGCCCCGAAATCATGAAGTCAGGCTTCTGTTGACCTATGCTTGCCGGACCGCCATTGCTTCCGTCCTGCTTGTGGCTGGAATCTTGTGGCTGGCAAGGACAACTTCCATTTCGGAGCTTATGTTGAACGCCGTGGCGCTGAATGCCATTCTGGATGTCGATGAGTTTCTCTTTGTGGGCATGACGCCAATTAAAATCCAGCATGCCATCCAGAGCCTGGAGCCCATGAAGGTGAAATACAGCCGACGGCGGAGCGAGTGCGAATCCATCGTGCACTTCATTTCTTTGGTGGCCCTGGTCTCTTGTACTTATTTGTTCCAGCTTGGGCCCCTCACAGAAGCCATGCTGAGCTTGAAAAACGAGCTTTGCGGTGGCAACCAAGCCTTCGTGGTGGGCTTCAACCCCGAAACTCAGCTAACTCATGCTCTGAACACGCCGGGCAGTTTGGACATCGGCAGAAATCTGACTATCAGTGAGTTGGCCGTGGAATCGCACAAGGCAACCTCGCCGGAAACGACCCCCGGAGACTTTCCAACCTACCTCCTCTACTCTACAGACAAAAACACGTTCAGTAATGACAACACTCGAAGCATCGAGCTTGAGGGTGGCATGATCCCTTTCTGCATCGAGACTGATATTATGAACCCAGCGGGTCGATATCACAACGACACAGCACTGATACCCTGGACGGCCGTTCTCATCAGAAACTCCGCAGCCAGCGTCGGACTACATAGCGCACGAAGTTGCGAAGAGATGCGGGGGATGTGCAGCCGTGCGGAAAGCCGCTTGCTGCGAATGGTGTGCGGCGAAACATGCGGATGCACAGAACCTTACAGCAGTGCCTGGTACAAGGTGGCAGCTCAAGGATGTGCTCCAGCATGCTTGCAGCATGCCCAGGCGAGTTTGAGCGGAGGCTCATGCGAAGATGCAGCTAATGACGCAGACTGGCAGGCTTTCTGGACAACCTTTCCAGAAGCGGTATCGTACTTTTATAGTACAGATGTGACGCAAACGGCTCTGTGGCCGATAGCAAACCAAACAGTCCAGGCAATGCGGCAAGACGGATGTGCAGCGCTGACACAGTTTCCGACTGACGTGATGACCAATGCCGAATGGTGCTCCGGGATGCCACAACTCTTTCGACCCTTGTCTGCCATCTGTCCTCGGAGTTGTGGCTGTGGGCAACGAGCGCATCTGACGCATTGCCCCGCCGGCTGTGCCTCTGGCAACTCATCGGGGTGATGTACATTTGATGTAAACGCATGTCCGGGCGTGTCTCACCAAGTGAGCACTCCGTTCTGAAGCGGGAGTCCTATATGCGCCAGTCGTACATACTACTCTTTTTTATCATGATGATCCTCATGTTGACTCGTTATTCATATTAATTCGCATCTTAAGCACATGTAGCTGTGCAAACGTATGTAAACATTCCTAGACATAGCCACATACCTCTGCATACATGTATATATATATATATATGTATATACATACATACATACAGTTATATACGTTTATGTACGTACGTATTTACGTATGTATGTACATGTATGTATGCATATGCATATGTCTGTGTATGTGTATGTGCTTACATTACATATCCAATCACATTTATGTGTGTATATATATATATATATATACATATGCATATACTTACATGAAGTGGTAGATGTCCATGAAATGGTGAGGGTTGTCAGGGCTTCTTCCGGGTGTTGGTTGTTGAGCATATAGTTCGGGCGTTATGTCAGAGATACTGCTATGACAGACTTTCTTCACAGGACTCCTCGCGACCTGCACTCCTGTGGGACTGGGTGCTTGTCAGACCCGTCTTTTCTGATGTCGTTGGTCAGTTGTTTTGGCTCTTACAAGTATAAGTAAGTAGGCACGTGGTTGCGGTCGGTAAGTGTAGTAAGTGTAGTGCACGTTTTAGTGTACATGCATCCTTGCAAGCAAGCCTGCAGCAAAAGTGTACATGGGAAAACATAAATGCCCTTTCCACACCAAGCCTTACGAAGCCTTACGGCATCGTCGGAAGCAGCACGCGCGAGGCATCGTCGGAAGCAGCATGTGCTGTAATTGACAGCGCAACGCCAGCATTTTGAAAAGAGATAACATGTGAGATGTGGTCGAAGGCACAATCCGAGCATTAGCCCGTGAAGTCTGAACCTGAACGTCGCACTTAGTCAGGAGTGAGAACATGTGGCCAGCAGTCGAGCACAGGAGTTTTTCGATTTAGAAGAGATCCTCTCATTGGCAGGACTTACGTCGTCTTTCGATCTTGGGAGCACAGTCACTCCAGAGTGTGTCGAACTCGAGGTACGGCACTGTGTGGGTTCCTTTTCCGCGCCTATAGTTATAGTCACCACCCCAGAAACGCAGAACACCTTCAAACAGATGATGCAGGGTCACACCAGCAACAAACCAATCCTTAGCTTGCTTGAGAGCTCCTGTAGTCGGGCACTGCAGCGTAGAAAAAGTAATGCTGCCATCCTTCATTTAGGGTTTGAAGATGAACTAGTGCCCACTTGGTACGTTGGATTCTGCATTGCTTTGCCGCAGCATGCCAAGGGCACGATGCTCCCAAGAAAGCTTGAGCTTTAATCATGTCCATGCCATTCTGATGACTGCAATTCCCGAGAGTCTACAAGGTAGACACAACTTGCTACAAGGTCATAAGACCCCTCAATTCGGTTTCACGAACGGTTCCAGCGAACATGAAGTCACACGCCCAGCTTTCGTATGCATAAGACCATAGGACTGCCGAACTGGCTCGTGATCAGATTTTTGTAAGATCGGCTCGGGTGGCAGCCATGCCGGCACCAACCATTCCTGCTGGGTCGAATCGTGCCGAAGAAGATATGGACCCATGGCAGGCTCAGCAACTGAGAATGACCCGACCTAGCCCCGAACGCGAACTTGAAGCACTGCAGTGCTGCCGAGTTCCATCAGAAACTTTGCACTGAACCTTATAGTCCCAAGGCCGGCGAACAGAGAACTTGCCATCGACAGAGCTTCGACGCACTATCAGTTGTATAAGCCCCGACACAACCTCACCAGTATCTGCCACGAACCATACACAACCCTCAGCCGACCTCATCAACACAATACACCTCCGTAGACCCTGTAAGAACCCGAGCAAACATAGCATTGAGGCCCCAAGCCCTAGTGCACAACCGAATGTTTGGTGCCCTACAGGAGCCGGTCAAGAGCATAGAGCTGGAGCTCCCGGATGATCGGCTTTCCGTGATGGAGCACGAGCTGCCGGGTGGAAGCCTGCGGTGCTCCGGGTGTAGCGGGCTCTAGGATCCGGATGAACAGGGCATAGCCTTTGGCGCAATTTCTGTTTATGACTCTTGGCACCCAGGTTCGCTTTGCTGCGGAAGCAGCTGCAGTCGGAGCTGCAGCAGGTCACGGCCCGATTGCGGGCCTCTTGGCTGAATCTTTGTTCCAGGCAAGGCGGAGGACTGGGGCCCGTTCAAAAAGCCTTGTCTGGACTCGGTTTTTATGGCCTTGCATCCCAATCCGCTCCACGGCCCTACTCGCATGTGCTGTGTGTCTTCTTAAATTCAGGCGACTATATACTTATGTTTAAATCCACAATGTCCTATGCCCTCCAGAGTTTCCGAAACTGTCCATGTCGGGACCACCCCATGGACAGGGTTTAGGTTTCAGGCGGATTCACACAAGCCTATGCAAAAAAAGGGGTTCAGGCTACGAGGGGTTCAGGCTACGATGCAATTCCATGCGCATTCTGGCGGGCATTCGTCGTGAAATGAGGACCAAAATGCTAGAACGCAATTTGTTTAAAGGGGCTTGAATGGTTGCCAAACTTCTGGTTCAATCCTTCTCAAGAAAGCAATACTATATGCTTGTATATTATACCCCCCAAAAGCCTATTCGTTGAATGTGGGCGTCTATACTACGTAGCGGCTGATGGAGGCTCTGCCACGCACCGCGCTTCAATAGGTACAGCACCTCTTAGGGATTATAAGGGGTTTAGAGTTTAGACTTTAGGTTTGGCTAGCAAAGGATGTTCATCCATTTTTCGGAACGAGAGAAGGTAGTTTTTTTGTTGAATTGCCGCGTGTTTGGAATTTGTTGCTTGTTGCTTCTTTGAGAGGGTTTCGGGGTGCGCCTACCGCTGACGTAGTCCCTAGCATGACTCGCGGGCTCACTCCTTGCACAGACTGTAGATACACTGCATACTGTTTTAAAGCCCGCAAGCTAAACACGTTAAGCTTCTGCACATCCTAGACCTCGGACCTTACAACAGCACACCGAGGTCGTGGAGGCACAGCTAACTGCCGGGAGCCACACCGTCAAGGCACACCGCGGATTCTTGTGGCGTACCGGATATAGTTTTATTCGGCACTTGGGAATTCCGGAAAAGTTTGGCCGGTGAATGTATTTTCCCCGGTCAGTGTGCTAACATTGTCGGGTTCTCCTGCTCGATAGGGAAGACGAAGTGAGATTGCTGTCCGCGCGAGGAGCACCAGCGATTCCGCAGCGCGGCGCGCCGCGCACTTTTCGACATTGCGTTTTTGACACAATTCCTCACCCCTACTATGCTCCTCCTCCTACTGTTGAAATGACTACGACGGCTGCTTCTAATGCTGTTGCTACCGGTACTCTTCAATCGCTACTGGGGTGACCCATGACGACCGCAGGCTGCGCCCACTGATGAGACGAAAGTCGTCCACGACTACAGTCTCCCTCTTGACACTGCGACCCTGACCCTGGAGGCGGCGTTATAGGGTAAGGGTTTGTAGGGTCCTGAGTTTCTAGGGTTTAGGGTTTAGGGCAGGGGTTGTGCTCAGGCTTTGTTGCGTCCTGTGAATTACATGTTTTACCGTAAGCTGGTGGACCTAGCGCATTGACTTCAGCTGTCGGGCTGTGCCTCGAAGGCCAGCCTGTAAACTGTTTTGGGGACAAAATTTACAACCTGTGAGCACATCAGGTCATCGCGCCTCGACCGTGTGAGCACAAGCAGACCTTGCGTCTGTTGGACAACACGAGCATACCCAAAGTTGCAGCGAAGTCTGCCAAACCCCACCGCCTGAAGGTGAATGATGCAAACCAGGCCGACACAGAGGATGCTAGCGGCCAGAGGTCGAGTCGGAGTAGGACTTTGCCCTAGGATTTGAGGATGTGTTGACTTCCTAACCAACTTGAGACTGTCAGACTAGAAGCTCATGGTTGGGAAGGGCTTGGTAATGCTTGATAGGTTGCTGAAGGGTCGTCCTGGTGGTCGTCCTGGTGTGCCGGCGTTGACGATTTCGAGGGTTGGCTCAGACGAGGATTCCACATGCTAAGATTTTATCTATGGTGGTGCTCGATCTCTTTCTTCCATGCAGTGATGGCTCCCTATTTTCGGTTTCACAAAAACCAGAAATACATCCAGGACGGTTCAGGAGTTCACTGAGGTGTCGTTCGAGGAGAGTGCCTGGAGTATTCCCCTCCTCGCTGGATTGATCGATGTCGGCATTTTCGACACGATGTTTGCAAGTGCCTTGGTTTTTCTGAACCTCGGGATGCAGTCGGCGTTTTCCATCATTCTGCTGACCCCTGCCTTCATGGGCGATGAGTTTGAGAGCAAGATCCAGAGCGCCCAGTTGTGGCGGACGAGCGTGGCTCATGATGAGAGGTGGGCACATGTAAAATGGCCGGCTGATGTGCTTCAGATTTGCGGATTGCTCAGCAGTTCCCCGATGCCTCCAGGTACATGGACTTAGCTGGTACCAGCCTGGTTACTCGAGTTTGCAACGGCGATGGGTCAGTGATTCTATCGACCGTGCAAGCCACTCTGGTTGAGCATGTCAACAGCTTCCTTGGCATGGAAAAGGACGAGTTTACTCTTCCGGCTTTCCGGCCGGGAATTCTTCTCTGCATGCTCTGCATTGTGCTTTGGACGCTGTGCATTCTCAAGGAGCGCTAAGCTCTGCAGCCATGGCTGCAAAGGTCCTCGGAGGTTTGCCTGTGGGTTTCGGGATCTCGAGGCTTCTCTACCGGGGTTCGTAGTGTTGAAGGGGGGCTTTGCCCTCCCAACCCGATCATCTGCAGGAGTTCCGACGAATTTGGGTGCAGCTGGAAGCAGCCGCTGGAATTCCAAAGGCGCGGCTGAAATTCTGCAAAGCTTCAGAGGGTGGAGTGGCTGTTGTTTCTCTTGGCGACTCTGGTCAGAACCATGATAGTTCCATAAAGCCAAAAACGCAAACCGCAAGATGTGGAACTGGAAACTGGAAACCGTCAGCACCTAATATAGCGGTCGAACCGTGGGAATACATGTAGCATGGTTTTGTTTAGTCAGTCCCTATATCACTGTTCTATAGTGTGCACAAGGCCCTCTCCTATTTATGAGCGGCCTCGGTGCTCCAGACTTCCACAGCGCCTGGCATGTGTCAGGTAGCAAGAGGTCGGATAATTAGCAGTCGCACTTCCTTTCAGGTTCCTGGGTTTAGGTACCTACTTGTACTCTAGAGTACCCCAAAACCCAACTCTAATTGTGAAGGCCATTAAGTACAGTCACGCCTCACGCCTCTGTTCGACTCCGATGCCGGGAAGTCTTCGTGTTGATGATTTTGATGATGACAGAAACAACCTGCAACAGCGATGATGTGCCGGCACTGTGAATGCATATACAGACCTCACTGACCTGTGCCATGTTGTCACCTCCAGCTCCAGGAAGCATCAGCAGTAGAACCAGCAGTCGCAAGACCGTACTAGTAGCAACATGGACGAAGTTGCAAAGCCATCTTCACGCACAAACGCTTTAAGCAAGGCCGGGCAGCGAGAGTGAAACCTTGAGTCCTCAGCATACTAGAAGCTGATATAATATTCAGCTAGATTATGCCGTATTAAATTAGACTAAAATAGGCTGCTGCGGCAGTACTCGACATGGTAACGCGAGTTGGTGCACGCAGGTCACTGAAATACCATTTTGTGCTGTGTTTGCGCACAGGGGCTGCCCTGGCAGACTCGTCAACCTAGTGGCTTCACCTTACAAGCCCATGTTGTGCGATGTATCCTGCGTGTGTGCGTGTGTGTCGCAGTTGTCAGCACTGCACCTCATGAAGCCGAGTGTCGCAGTGGCATCGTCCCGATGTCGGCACGCCATGCTGATGTTAAGCCTGCAGACATGAATGGACAGTTAAGAGCTGAACAGTTCTGGCAGTCAGTCCTTTCATGACTTTTTGTTCAAATATCAAGGTGAGCTGAGAGATTGAACAGATCTAAGCAGCGTTGCCGTGGAGCTTTGTTGTATTCGAAATGTCACCACGACACTGACCTACCTTGCTGCATGCCTGTTTCGAGAACTGCATTAGTCATCGCACGGTGGCACCTGTGCCAGGTTTTGCTTCGCACTAGCTCGTGTTACCCCGTCGGAACCTGCCGTGCTTGCTTGGGCTTGCAAATGCTTCGAAAGGCACTTGCGACCTCTTTCGGCGAGAACACCTTCGAAGCTATGTCGTGGGGTCGCTTCTGCCTGCTTCTGGGCAGTGCCGTTAGTTTCATGTGATTCGGTCTGGCTAATCTAATCACTGTGACGGGTTGGCGGCATTGCCAAGCCTTTGTCTTGATTGTCTTAGTGTTGTTTGGAGTGGAGGTTATACGGGGAATGTTGAGAGTGGGGCTTAGGATGTAATGTTGTTTTCTCTCTGGTGTCTTTGCTTTTGTGCTGATAAGCATTCCTGACTGCTACAGTTGTCAATTAGTGTCAGGAGCTTGCCACATATGCTTTGTTGAAAGAGCAGTTGTCACGACCTTTTTAGACGTGCGATCCCTGATGTGAGGCTTTTGTTGACCTATGCCTGCCGAACTGTCATTGCTACCGTCCTGCTTGTGGCTGGAATCTTGTGGCTGGCAAGGACAACTTCCATTTCGGAGCTCATGTTGAACGCCGTGGCGTTGAATGCAATTCTGGATGTCGATGAGTTTCTCTTTGTGGGCATGACGCCAATTAAAATCCAGCATGCCATCCAGAGCCTGGAGCCCATGAAGGTGAAATACAGCCGACGGCGGAGCGAGTGCGAATCCATGGTTCATTTCCTGGGCCTCGTGATTTTGGTCTCTTCAACGTATTTCTTCCAGCTGGCGCCCCTTACCGAAGCTATGCTCGACCTGAAGAATGAGCTGTGCGGTGGCAATCAAAGTTTCGTGGTTGGTTTCAACCCCGAAACTCAGCTCACTCACGGCCTGGTCACGCCGACTGCGTTGGAAATTGGCAGAAATCTGACACTCAGCGAGTTGGGAGTCCAAGCTCACAAGGCCACCTCGCCGGAGACGACACCCGGACAAATTCCAACCTATCTTATCTTCTCTACAGACAAGAGTTCTTTCAGTAATGACAATGCCCGAAGTATCGAACAAGAGAGTGGAATGATCCCCTTTTGCACTGAGACCTCGATCCTGAAGCCAGATGGTCTGTATCATAGCGATTTTGCGCTACAGGAGTTCACGATGGTTCTAATCAGGAATGCTGCAGCCAGTGTTGGACTCCATGATGCGCGAAGTTGCGAGGAGATGCGCGGCATGTGTAGCGGCGTGGAGAGCCGCCTGTTGCGAATGGTATGCGGCGAAACGTGCGGATGCACAGATCCTTACAGCAGCGCTTGGTACAAGGTCGCGGCACAAGGATGTCAGCCACCATGTTTACAGCTTGCACAGGCGAGTTTGAGCGGAGGCTCGTGCGAAGATTCAGCCAATGACGAAGACTGGAAAGCTTTCTGGAGAATCTATCCAGACGCAGTATCGCACTACTTCAGTGCAGATGTTACGCAAACTCTTCTTTGGCCTTTTGCCAACCAAACAATCAGTGCAATGCTGCAAGACGGATGTGCAGCGCTGCTGCAGTTTCCGACCGATGTAATGACCACTGCCGAATGGTGCTCCGGGATGCCGCAGCTCTTTCGACCTTTGTCTGCCGTCTGTCCTCAAAGTTGTGGCTGTGGGCAACGAGCCGATCTCACGCACTGCCCCGCCAGCTGCGCCTCTGGCAACTCCTCGAATTGACCTACGTTTGATGTAAACACATGTCCGGGAGCGTCTCGCGAAGTGAGCGCTCCGCTCCGAAGCGGGAGTCCTGTATGTACAGACATGCTATGGTCTCACTACTACTACTACTACTACTACTACTACTACTACTACTACTACTACTACTACTACTACTACTACTACTACTACTACTACTACTACTACTACTACTACTACTACTACTAACTTACTACTACTACTACTACTACTACTACTACTACTACTACTACTACTACTACTACTACTACTACTACTACTACTACTACTACTACTACTACTACTACTACTACTACTACTACTACTACTACTACTACTACTACTACTACTACTACTACTACTACTACTACTACTACTACTACTACTACTACTACTACTACTACTACTGCTACTGCTACTGCTACTGCTACTGCTACTGCTACAGCTACTACTACTACTACTACTACTACTACTACTACTACTACTACTACTACTACTGCTACTGCTACTGCTACTGCTACTACTACTACTACTACTACTACTACTATGCCACTGACTGTGATAGCGCCTGTGACTATGACGAAGACTATGGCAAGGGTTGTTGCTGTTCAATGCCGGTTGCTAGTGTTATTGTTATTGTCAGTAGTAGCTACGAATGACTATGCCGCTTTCTCTTCTAATATGCATATACATATATATATATATATATATATATGATATAGAAAGATGTGTATATCTGTATATATCTGTATCCCAGCAAATGTGTGTACATATATATATATATACATATATATATATATATATACGTATATATGTATATAAGATTCTGTATATATATATATGTATACATATATATATATATATATACATACATATTTATGTGTGCTTGTATTCGCTTTTTTGGCATCAGGGTCACTGTTATTGATTATTGGTATTTTTCTAGTCGTGGATGTAATTCCGACTGCAGTGCATGGTGTTGTTTTATTGTTGTTGGTACTCCCTATATCATCAGCATTGTTATTATCGTTATTCCTATTCTGATTATGTTTGCTGTTAGAAGGTGTGGGTGTCGATCTGTAAGTGTATATATATATATATATATATATACGACATACGCATACAAACAGCAGTGGTGAGGGTATATATGGGCTCCTGTTCAAAATTTGCGCGTTTACAGTTTGAGTGTTACGTACGACGTACCGCAATAAAAGGCCTAGTTCACAGGACTCCTCGCGACTCGTATTTCTTTCGGACTGGGTGCTTGTCAGACCCTCTTTTCCGATGTCGTTGGCTCTTCATGGTCTTGAAGTAAATATGGAAGTGGTGACGATCGGTAGGTGTAGTGTACATAAGCAGACTGAAATGCCATTTCCCCACGAAGCCTTACGAAGCCCGCACGGCATCGTCGGAAGCAGCACCTGGAAGGCATCGTCGGAAGCAGCATGTGCCGCTATGACAAAGCAAAGCCAGCGAAGCATCGAGACTCGAGACGTGCAAAAAGGGCATTACGTGTCAGATGCGGTCGAAGGCACAACCCAAGCATCAGCCTGTGAAGCTTGAACCTGAACATCGCACCTGGGTCCTTCTATGAGTGAGAACAGGAGTTAGCAGCCCTGGAATAGAGATCCTGTCACTGCAGGGTTTGGATCGTATCTCGATGTGGGACTACAGTAAGATGAACTGGAGGCACAGCTACGTACTGTGGTTTCATGTGTCTCTGTCTAGAAACTACGCAACGCATGCAGAATATCTTCAACCGGATGCTGGAAGGTCACACCAGCTGTTGCAACCACGACCCAACCCCTTAGGCTTGAGGCTTTGAGGGATCTGATCCTCTAGTCGGGCGGTGTCATGCCTCGGCAGGTGCACGAATGTCCACTTGGTACGTTGGATTTTGCTCGCTTTTCTCGCAGCATTCTGGCGAAACAAACGAAGAACCACGACTCTCCTAAATGCAAGTCCCGAGAGTTCCTATAGACTAGACATAGCCTGAGAGCTGTCACTGCTTGCTGTTCAAACGGTGGGGACCACCCATTTTTCACGAACGCCTGAAACAATCGGCAAGTCTACAGACCCCACGAGAGTGATGTCACACGCCTAACTTCTCGGTCAAAACATAGGACGGACTGCATAGCAGGCTCGTGATCATGTTTGTGTAAGACCGACTCGGGTGGCAGCCATGCCGATACCAAGCTCTGCGGCCCAAACGAATGGTGCTGCAGAAGATTTGCCTTCATGGAAGGCACTGGGAATGGCCCGACCCAGCCCCTGGGGCACCCAATCCCTAGCGCACCATCGATTGCTTATGCCCTGACAGGAGCCAGGGTCGGTCAAAAGCATAGAGCTGGAGCTCCCGGATGATCGGCTTTCTGTGATGGAGCACGAGCTGCCGGGTGGAAGCCTGCTCTGCTCTGGGTGTACGGGGCTTTAGGGATGAAAAGGGTATGGCCTTTGGCGCAATTTCTGTTTATGACTCTTGGCACCCAGGTTCGCTTTGCTGCGGAAGCAGCTGCAGTCGGAGCTGCAGCAGGTCACGGCCCGATTGCAGGCCTCTTGGCTGAATCTTTGTTCCAGGCGAGGCGGAGGACTGGGGCCCGTTCCGAAAGCCTTGTGTAGACTGAAGCCCCAGCCCAAAGCATCTGAGGCCTGGCGTCCCAATCCCCTCAACGGCCCTACACGTATGTGCTGAATCAAAGCCATTGTGTCGTCATACATCCCAAATCCACTATAATATGTTTATACCTATACACCCTGGTATAGAGTCCTTGAAACTGTCGGAGTCGGGGCGGCTCATGGATGAGTCCTGGCAGAGCCGCTAGCCGGGATCGTAGCCTGACCGGCCCCAGTCCCCTTGCGGCGTTGGTTTCAACAGTGACTATAGACAGTAGCCAGTAGAGGCTGCACAGGATTTTCGCACTGCCCTCAAGCGAAAATCGTGAAGCTCTGAATGCTCTAAGCGCAGAAAACAACACAAGATCGCTAAGGTCGTGGAGGCAAGGCTTCATGCCGGCAACCACATTGTCAAGGCAGGCTGCGGATTCTCGCAGCGTAGCGGATGTGTTCTTACAAGTAGGGCTTCGGAAGTTCGGGAAAGCTGAGCCGGCAGGGCCAGTGAATTCGAACGTATGTTGGGGTTTCGGTCCCATATTGCCCAAGCAAACCCTGAGTTTTCTCAGGGCATGCCGTCTAAAGTGCCCCAGATGGAAAGCTGCTACACCTCCAGACTGGAAGAGTGATTGTAATGCCCCGCCCCCCCCTGATGGATTTTAGACGAGGTTAGGTTGCTGTCCGCTCGAGACACCAGCAGTTCCGCGGCTCGTGCTAAGTGCGGCGCAATGCACATGTTCGGCTAATATAACATCGAGTTCTAGCCGCATTTTTGCACCTTACTGCTTCGCCTATACTCTGCTTCCGCTACGACTGCTACTGCGGATTAGCGCCAATTCTTGCACTGCTACTGCTGCTGCTTGGTGCTGCTTTTGTTGCTGGTAGTGCAACCACTACCACAACTACCTCTACTATACCATCACGACGGCTGCGACTGGTACTGCGACGACGACAGTTTGTTGCCGCTGGTACTCTTCTGTCAATACTGCGGAGCACGGCTTACGGCAGGCTGCTCCCACTGATGAGACGAAAGTCGTCCACGACTATAGTCTCCCTCTTGACACCGCGACCCTGACCCTCGAGGCGGCGTTATAGGGTTTGGTTCAAGGAACACAAGCATTCCTGCGCCTGCTGCGACTATTCTTCTGCCGTAACCTGGTGATGCTGTGAACCCCGGTTCGTGAAGTCTAAATAATTGCTATTACTATTTTGTTGGAGTGGGCTCCTTATGACAATCATAGCATAGTATACCCCCCAAAAGAAACCCTATTCTAAATTGTTGAGGGCCCCTATAGTATAGCATCGACCAAAGTCAACCATCAACCTGGACTCCAACTCTTGAGCTTCGCATGGATGACCGGCCATAGATTAGAAGGGGCCCCCACCCTGTACTAGTGACTATGAGGATTATATTAGGGCCCTATTATATTCCTATTATACCACTATTACAGGGTGGGGGCCCTTCTAAGCCATAGAGTGTAAAGTTGGGAAGCTTGTAACCACCTCTGTGAGCACAAGCAGACACTGCACATAATAGCAAACTCGAGAATGCGGCAAAAGTTACGATGATTCTTCCACAACCCCACCACCTCAAGGTGCACGATGCAAACCAGCCGGGCACGGAGGATGCCAGCGGTCGCAGGTCCAGTCGGAGCAGGACTTTTGCTTAGGCTTTGAGCATGATGACTTCAAACTGTCAGGTGGAAAGCTCAGGTTTGAGAAGGGCTTGACAGATTGATTTAAGGGTCGGTGCGATCTGGGGGTTCGGGCTTGGTTTGGACAAGGTTTCCAAGTTGCTGTTGTGTCATACTACGGTCCCCTTCGGCGAGGGTAGCCGGGTATGTCGTACCAGCACGAGTTATTCACCTTAGCTTCTAGCTTTGCTGGCAAACGACAAGGCCCTGCTGTTGAGGAGTGTTGGCTGGCACAAAATCCAAGCCCATGCTGAAAAAGGTTTGCCGGGATGCGATTTTAGACTCCAAGGAGCCGCAAATAAGGGTAACATGGCAGTCGACGGTACAGTCAACTCGCCAGTCTGCATTATCAAAACCCTGCAGACGAAGCAGGCTCCAGGGTTTAGCCGCGCCAAAAGAAAAGCCTGGATTTTTGTTCGCTTCCCTATGTCCCGAACGGCATAATGCTGGGAATAGTGTTGACTCAGTGTCGCCACCCCACAGCCATGTTGGACGGCAGCACCCAAATTACGTTCTTCGAACTGGTCCGCTGACTTCGACCACTCTCTCCACCCATTCCCCCTTTGAATTGTCGCCGGGTGGTGGCCACGTGGCATGGCGCAGCAGTAGGTGTTCTCCAGTGTCTCGACCCATTGTCCGTCCCGAGATGGAGTGAATTGCTGTGCTGTGTGTCCAGAGTCTGGCACACTAGAAAAGGGTGGG